CACAACCCTCCCCCCCCCCTCCTCCCGGGTGTGGGAAACAGCGGGGGGGGCAGCCGCCAGTCTCCGGGGCCTCATGTAGCCCCGCCCTTTCCCTGGCGGGGAAATGATGAGCAAACCCCGGCCAATAGGTGGCCAGAGGAGGCGGAGACAGCTGCTTCCCTAACTTCAAAATGCGTCTCTCGGAGAAGACAGGCTCGGGGTGCCGTTCGGTGCTGGGCGGGGAAGGAGGCGCGAAGGAAGGCGACGGTGGCGGCCGCTTATCTCCTTAGGCTGCGAGTATCTCAGTGTTGATCGTGCGCAGTTAGGCAGATGTAAGTCCCCAGGAGTTCACTGACGCTGATTCCTGAGGGCCGTGAGTAGGGTTTTTTTTTTTTAATTTATTTAATGCGTTCGCTGAGATGGTCCGTCTCACCTTAACTCTGCATTGCTTGAAGGAATGATATGAATGATAATCCTGCTTGCTGCAAGATAATTGAATTTATTGCAAAAGCGGTGGTAAAACAGAAGAGCCTGGAACTTCTGGGGCTGTTGGGACTGAGTGTTCTTACCGGTGGTTAACTTAAGACAATGATTTTTCTGGTCTCCAGCTTGACTCAGCAACAGTTGGTTGGTTGTTTTGTTTTTTTCCTTCCCGGGATGGTTTTTGACTCTCCAGGCTGATCCCAAACCCTGATATTTCCTGGTGTTGCCCACCCAAGTACCATCTGGGCCTGACTTGGCTTAGTTTTGGATCACCTATGGCTTATCATCTGAAGGCTGAGGGTGTCCTTCAAACCCATCATGGGTGGAGCTTTGTAATGGTATGTGGGAAAGACCTTGGGAGACAGGGCAACAGGTACAACCAAGGGAACAGTCAGGTAAAAGGCAGCTTACCCTGTAGCAGGAATGTGGATGGGGCAAGAGGCTCAGAAGAGACCCTCCTCTAGAGCTGTAAAGGGGACAGGGAGAGAAGTATTTTCAGACTTGCAAGATTCTGTTAATGTAACTTTATAATAAAGAAGAATTAGCCTATCTGGTCGTGTTTCTTGTCTGGTCTACCTTGTATGGCTGACAGGTTCATACAACACTGTGAACTTGGGTTAACAAAATAAAATTGCTGCATTATAGAACAGATTATGCCCAAACAAGTAAACCATATTGTGACATAATGTGATCACTTTATTCACACAACAGGTTAAGTAGTGGCTGGGTTATGAAAACTTGCTGAACCATAAGCTACTGGTTTTAGCCTAGATTAACAAACCATGTGAACATGATTTTCACCCCCCCCCCACCCTCTTGGAGTGGTGGAGAACTTGGGAAGGGGGAAAGAGTTCTTTTTAACATTAGAGAAGCTAAGGATTGTAGAGTGGGTGGGAGCACAGAGTACATGTTGGTGGGATGGGACTGGGTTTGGGAAATATTTGGGAGTTTTTTCTTTGTTTTAAGCTATGATGTGCCTATTCTAACTAGAGAATTTTTTAGTTAAAACCTCAGCATGAGAAACTTAGCTGTTCTTAGTAGTTAATGTCTGCTGGCCAAATAAAGGGAATTTCAGGGCCAGACAAAGCCCTAGGGTCTAGGGCTAGCCTAGCCCTGGTTCAGGGAACCACGGCTGACAGCCTGTGTTTAGGATCCTGGTCTGGAGTTACCTGCATATAGCACTATTAACTAAACCTGTTGGTTAACAATACCTGTGTGTATTTGAATGCAGAAATGGAGAGTTTTCTTAAAGCAATCTAGTCTGAATTGTACAATCTTTTGAAATGCTAATATAGTGTGAGATAGGGCATAAATACTCTGGTGTGGGCTTATACATATAAAGCAGTTAACCAATCCAAGATACATTCTATAAATATTCTACAAAACATAAGATGGATTTTTTAACTGGAATAAAGACTATAAGTACATCTATATTTGTTAAAGATTAGGGATTTCATAAGGATTAGTGAGTTTAATGACCAAGCTGCAATTTGAAACTGGGGTCTCCCAATGCCAGAATAAATACAGAAGCAATATTATGCTCTGTTCTAGCATATGAATAATAGATTGTATTCAGAATAATATAAGATATAAAACATGGCACTATGACTTTGTCAAAGTGATTTGTCTGGGTCTCAGCAATTTACCCTCTATGAAATGGGTTTTAAAGCAGGATCAAAAAAGTACCTTTATGTTTTTTAACTAAATCCTCACTTCTACTTTGTACTTGGAATCCTGGATACCTTTAGCCTCTCCAGAGTTTGAAATCTCATGACTTTAGCACTTGTTTGTTACTGTCTTATAAAATAATATGTTGCCTCAAAATAAAATATACAACTCAATACAAATTGCTAAAAATCAAAATCTAAACACAAGCAATACGTTTTCTAGGGTCTTTTCAACACATTCACCGATCTCTAGAGCGGTTTGGAGGTAATCTACAATAGTCTTCTGATACTCCTGTCTTTTCAGTATGCTGACAACAAGCGCAAAAGCCATTTGATCACTCTTCCACGTCAAGTGCCACACCACCTCTATGACAAAAATCCTCTCTGTACTCTCCACACAAAAGGGAAATAAATTACATGAATTTCTACCCTTGAACGTTCTTAGATCATTTTGTATACATGTGGTTCCTTTGAGAGAATGCTGCTGAAGCCCAGATCCTAGGTAGGTTGGTTGGTGAGATAAAAGTAACTACAAATTGATTACTCAGAAATTCCACACAGCCATAGGTTTTCAAAGAGAAAACTAATTTTACTCCACTTTCAAACACATAGCAGCCAAGCCAGAAACAAATCTGCTAGGCTCCTGAGCACAGCTGACCTTTGATTGTAAAGGTCTAGACCTGTTTTCAAACTGGCAGGAGTCCTTATGTGGAAATAATCAGGATATCACAAAAGGCAGGTAAAGGTTTTGAGTTCTTCTGAATTCTCCATCAGAAAGATGTTACAAAAACAGGAAGTAGAGAAGAAATAGAAAGTGCTTGTGTTTTTTGTAATATCTTGACTGAACTTGAAAGCCTGCAGCCTCTTTTGTGTTATTTTGATTTGGCCCTAATGTATTACACAACTCTGGATTTTAGATTTTTTTTCCCCCTAGCATTGTAGGACACCTTTTAAAATATGTTATTTAAAAGTTCTAGGGCATGTGACAGCAGAGAACCAGTAGCCACTGAAATTTGGTCTTCAAACAAGAGCATATATTTGATATTAGGAAAGCTGAACATTAAACCATAAACTAAATCAGTTATTCAAATGAATTACTTCTATGAATGAATGTTAAATAGTTCAATTAAGGGAACAAAGATACCAGTTGAGAAAAATCCTGTTTCATAGTTTTTAAAGATGACGTACTCTGTTTCATGGAGTATGGCTTTGAAAGAGCAAAATATGAATGCAGAAATAATTGTACATTAAGCTATTCAAATTACCCTGGGCAAATTAGTATGCATTTTAAGGAAAAGCATGATATACTGTATGTATTGGAAAAGCAGACTCATGCAGAAGCTTTAACATTTGTGCTATGATATGAAGACTCTTGTTAAACATGAATAGAGCCAGAGCATTGGACTAGGGCTAGAACCTGAAATTAGAATGTAGGGTCCAATTTCTCATTTGGCCACAAAACTTACAATACATGTCTACCAGAAGCATATCTGAATTCAACAGGGAATTACTTCAGATCAGTGGACCTGAAACTGCAGCCTGCATAATTTTAGGGCAGTCATTTACCTGCTTTCTACATGATCATAAACCACATTTTTTAAAAACTGGTTTAGTGGCTCACATTAACTGAATTTGCACCTCATGCTAAGCCATAGTGTTGTAGCTATTTGATTTTTACTTATAGTTGTACTGTCTCAACCTTCCCCAACTCGGTGCATTGTACATAAAATGAATCAGAGTACAAACCACAGAGATCTTTACAAGCAGGATGGAATAAAAAGGTAATAGTTGAAGTTACTGAAACTATAGATACTTCTGACATTTGAACTTTCCTTCTTCCTTTGTGATATATACCTTCTGGGAGAAGCTTCTAATGGTTCCCCAGTTTTGTGAGGTAAGGGGTTTGAAGACCAGAAGCAGCAATTTGGGGATGGCTCCTATTTTAGGGAGTAGCCTTAATGTTAGGTTGGCACTTGCCTTTTGCCATTCTGGAAATTGGTGAAAAGAGAGCTTTTCCAGAAAGCTTTGGGGAAATGGCCAGTAGACACTATCTTTTGTTTTTTTATCGCTCCAGATCAGCAATCATCTGATTTTATTGTGATTTTATAAATTATATTCTGTGTTTGGGTTTTATGACGTTAGCCACCAGGAGTCCATGGTAATTGCTGTGAAACGCAAACAAATAATAGTCTAAAGCAGTGTTGTCCAAACTTGGCCACTTTAAGATGAGTGGACTTCAACTCCCAGAATTC